CAATTATGCTCTTATGTAACGTCTTACCTGGAATATCAGGTAACATATGAGCTCTGTAGCATTCTGGAGTATTAACCATTAATCTTATATAGGGATCTTGTTCGACAATATGTAGAATTTTGCTAAGGTATTCGGTAGTTATTGAAATATAACGAATTTCTGAGTCGACTAAGACAAATGCCAGGGGGTTTCATAAACTGTACAGCATTTTGGGCGATCTGAAGCATTTCAAAAGATTGTTTTTAGGGTCATTTACCGTAAACTTAGTCTTTTGATTAGTTAGAATTTTGGTAAAATAATAATTTTAATTAGCAGTTAATTATCGTGCCACAAGTAAAAAAAATATTTTGTCTACTGATTCGCATCATCCTTTATTGATATAGATGTACAATTTTATCGCTTTTTCCCATATATAATTTTTATTTTCTGGATATTATTATAATTGGCGATTAATAATAATTATTTCATCACTCTGTTGCAATTTAACGAAATTGTTTATAAATTAATTAAAACAAGTTATTCGTCACCAAAATGTCTAATTGGAATTGGTTGATATCACGAAATGATTGTCGTTCGTGCAACAAAACCTAATTTAAAACAGTATGGTATCTAAATGAATATAAATTCAATTATATTTTGAAAATTGTGTGAATATATATATATATATATATATATATATATAAATTGTATGATGTGCTGGGAATTATTTAGCTCGAGGCAATTGCAATTTTAAACGTGCGAAATAAATGAAATAGAATGAATTATTACAATCTAGATATTTTCGAATAATATTTAATAACTATTTGTATTTTTATATTTCATTTTCACTAGGTTTGTTTGATTTAACATCATAAATGAAAGTAGGTGTGCCATTTAAATTTATTTGCATACGCTATTTTACTGAATTCAAAAATCAAATTCATATATTAAAAATGTATACAGAATTGCTAATGTCAATAATGTTTTCTCACCAGCAATATTTTCTATTTTCTATTTTATTACAACATTTTATTATTAATATAAATTTTTAAAATTCACTAACGATTTTGTAGAATTTGTTGTGAAAATAGTGAATACAGCTAAATAATATTTAAAGTAATTTACATTAGCACTGTAAAACAATTAGTATTCATTCCAAAAACATATGTGAATAATGAGCTGACGCTGTGACATTTACAATTGTCTCATTTCAGTTACACAGCAACATTATTTAATAAAAGCAAACATTCTGTTTTCGGATTTTAGTATGTAACAAATCTACGACATTTATTAATTCGCGCTGTGTAATTAAATGAGCAGTACTAAAATTTACTAACAATACGACAAAATTAATAATACGTACAACAATAAATAATACGAAATAATTATAATTCAGCGAAATAATGCACGGATTGGAATTAAATTCTATCAATCGGAAACGTAACGTATGAAATATTGGACACGAAATTAAAATATACTGCTCGTTGTTTAAATAAATCGGAATAAATAAATAGAAATGAAATATATTTCGTTTGTTCATTTTTAATCAGTTGCACAATTGTAACTGTGATTTAATTTTAAATTAAAGGCGTTTCATCATTAATAAACCGCAATCTGGCTAATCAATATAAATAGGATTCTGAAAAATATTAATGATGGTAATATGTAACAGAGCGATAATAGATGATGTAATTGAAATAAAATAAATAAAGTATAGTTAAATTTTTATTCTTGTTACATAGTTGAACATATTTTATTTATAATAATTTGAATTTAACGTTGGCAACTAAGTAATTACGAATTTTTGTTAGAAAATCAAAGAATTTTTTTTGATGGAACTAAATAACTTTACTTTGTAATATACAGTCCATTTTATCAATGACTTTTTGACATCTTTCAGCAGCAACGAATCTAAAAATTATTATAATAGATAGAGATAGAAAAGCCTACGAATAGGCTACAATTTTTAGATAATTATTTGATGTTCTTGCTACTGCACGTCTGATTCAACATGTTCCCACTTCGAAGTTGATTAAAACGAACATGAATTACCCAAATAGGCCGTTATAACGGGGACATAACAGATATGCAGCACTACTAATATACCAAAATACCCCATTATCATTATGAATCCGTGCCTAATACTATCATAAGAACCCTGTAATGGTTCCACTCGTCGGGCTGGTACTTATTGTTTGCTATTAACTGAAATGACACAGTTTGGGATGTGACATTACCATTCTGTATGGCGAAGCATTCTCTATGTCGTGATAGCGAATCGTACAAGAATGAGCAATTAGTGTGTAATTAGTGCTCGTTTTTATCTCGAAACTAGATTACTGGAGCAGCGAAATCACACCGCAGACACAGGTTGCAATTTGGAAAGCACGCCGGCGGTACAGTGATCACGTAATATCAGTGCATACGACAACTTTATAGTGTTATAATAGGGGATGCAAGCGAAAACCAGTCGTAAGGGGAACGTGTCAAGTAGGGGAAAACGGGGGAGAATTGGACACGTAGTAATAATGCATGCCCGGAACGTTTTGGTTAAAGCAATTATACGGTGTTGATGAATATGCAATTGTAGCGATGTTTAATGCTATGTACTGGAGATGGGCTTATCATATCCGAAGCCGGATTTGACTCCGCTTCATGGTGGAGTTATATCCGCTTAACAACTCTACGACTCCGACAATTTTGAAACTGAAATACTCGACACAAAGTATTCTATAGTGCGTTGTTTTTATCTAAGGTTTCTCAAATCCCATTAATTATTTGAAATGAAAATTTATGATAATATTTGTAATTTTAGCAGTGTTGACCAAAGTATAAACGCAAAACTTGAGAATCAAATTCAATTTATTTATTTCCTTTTGATCAGAAAATAATCATTTTTTTTGTTCATTATATAGTAAACTTGTAATAAAAGCAAAACATAATACTTCTGCTTTCAAAATTTTTCTTCTGCTATTTTCATTTGAGAATTAATATTATATCGCGTAGTTCGATTAGCATATTATTACTTTTACACAATTATATAATTGTGTAAAAGTAATAATATAATACTGAACATTTTTTGCTGCTTAAATACTAATGATATCACTGATAAATTTTGTACTCTAAAGTGTTGTTATTTCAGGCTATGGGAAAACCAGATTAAATAAATGTATTTCGTTTCGTATATTTTTCGGTATGTATATTCCTGATTGCCGTCAATCACGGCCAAAGATTGTCGTAGTTAAAAATATGACCCCTTACTATCAATAAATTATACATTTGAGCTATTCACACTTGAACACAATTTTATTGTTCTGTATCTTTGAAGTAATATTTTTGTATTATTATTTATTAGATTTTGTATTATTATTTTGAGTTTCATACCCAAAAGGTCATAAAACTGTCTGTGAGACGAGAAAGTGACCGCTTCCTTTCCTAAGCAAAAACGACAAAAACAGTAAATATCTGCCACGAGTTAACAGATTTAATACCAGTTTAGGGAAGTCGGATATGACAAATCCTATGAAACAATTCCACTCGGATTCACTCCGAGGGAGGAGTTGTATCGGAGTGATAAATCCGGAGTGAGTTACCCATCTCTACTATGTACTAATAAAAACTCTATATTATGGAGAGTGAACCTCAAATATTCCATAGGGGTCTAAAAACAATCATGATAAAAATTAAAATTATTGTGCATTGTGTACTTAGAAATGGGATGCTGAATATAGGTCATATCAATGCATTCAAAACATATTAAATGTAAATAACTTCGTTGGTAAAACAATCGATAAAATGTGACGTGATCGTGAAAATGCCATAAATGTGCAGTTATAGCTGTGACATTTTTCCAAAGCACTCTATAATATTTATATTACCCCGCATTAAAATATTTCCCTGTTTTAAATCTATTTAATAGCTTTATTTTTATACCGAGCGGGAACTTAAAGCCCGCGGTAATAGTGTTTACGTGACCTACAGCTAGTTCACTTCTCCGGTTGGGTGATTTTCTCCGGTGTCCCAGGCGCCCACCACCGTTGTGCGGCGGCTCGGCTGTCGGTTTGATTTTAAAAGCATTTGTGTGAAATTCATTAATGGATAAGTTTTGTTTGAAAGCGGCTATCACAAGTTCAGTGGCGCAAATTGATTTACGGCGAAAATCACCCGACGATTGATCACTACGCCGCAGTATAAATTATAATCACGCTTTGTCTGCCGGATTTAAACTTTGCCATTTGAATAATTGATATTTTCGAAGTTTATACGAATGGCGGATTTAATTTATAGTTTCCCACCTTAATGCTGTTATTAGTGGTTGGAGAAAGTTGAAAACAGTAGACTATTAGTCGAGATCGTGAAGTATTTGCTTATAGTATAGAAAACTATTCAATAGAATATCGACCCGCCTGATTATTATCCGACTTTACTAAATTAATAGAAAATATTTGACTCAAACTGTGCATTTGCTATTGTCAATTTCCCTGGTCTCGGGTTTTATTTCATACTAGACATCTGGATCTGCAAACCATGAAACTGTCGAGTAATTTTGCGAGACATGTCGAGCTTTATCCGAGGTCTTAATAAGGAAAACTATTTTTATTAAATAAAGTTTAGATATAAAACCCTCGTGATGAGCCAACGCGTGTTACTTGTCAAATCAGGCTAATGAACTGAAGTTTCAGACCACGAAAGCAAAATACGACTTCGGTCACCAGAACTTTTCTGCTTCTTGTCGTGATAAATAAATGATTCGATTAAAATAGTTCGCTCGGTGTTCGTTCCGTTATTACCTACGTTAGTTCGAAACAAGTCTCATTTAACTCGGACATAAATATAAATTATCTATATCTTTTATTTCTTAAATGGCATTTTCCAGTATCCAATAAAGAACAAAAAACAAGAATATCAAGTTTAAGCATTTGTTGAAGTTTCTCTCAAAATACTTTTGTCAATTAGTTGCTAATTAGAAACATAATTGATTTTTAAGTACGATCATTAATATATTTTTCTATTTTTTCCAGGGTGGTGATGTGGTTCAGGAGAGTATTTTTTCAAATATCAGCGATGACGCGGTGACTTTGGAGTTTCAGCGTTCTGACGGAACCCTCGTTACACAGCTGGTTGATTTCAGAAATGTGAGTGATTTTTAATTTAATTTTAGTATTAAACCTGAGAACGTAATCCATATACGTTTGCAACAGTTATTTTTCATTGTAAAATTGAAGTTCTCATTTATTATATTTAAGAATGATCGATATAAATTGCAACTAGGAATTATTTCAACCCATTCTTTAAATGCAAATATTGATAGTATTACGATTTTCATAGCGAGTCATCCTACCTACTTCTATTAAAATCCGAACGAAGTTGATTTAAAATCCGTATATATCTAATTCAAACAAATTCAAATGAAGGCACCTGAATAATTCCGCAGAGAATGTATTTGTAGAACTAGTGTGATTTTACCTACAAATTTTATTCGAAAAATATTTCAAGAATCATAGAAAATAGTAGACTGGCGTTTGTTTAATTTTATTTGGAAATAGACGATTTTTGTGCATCGTACGTTTATTTATTCCGGAGGTACATGTTTGTTTTGCAGTATTTATTTTAGTTCTATAAAAATATGTGATGAAGTAGGTAGATCCGTTTGATATAAGCAAATAAAGTACGAGCTCTGTTTTTATATATTTCGTTTATATTTGAAATGTAGGTATTTATTTTGTGATGTTTGAAATAGAATTACATGATTTGCATTGGAATTAAACATATTTTAAATACAATACGCGGATAAATTTAAAATTAGATTATTGAAATCTAATGAATAATTTATTATACGAAATTTAATTATCATTTGGATCGTAATAATTATTGAATTTTTAAATTTCAATATATCAATTGTAGATTGTTTTTGAATCATTGCAATGGCCTTTAGGCGAGTATTTAGTGACTAGTTTTAACTGCTATCGCTTTGAAGGTTTTACAAGTTTATTCAAAAGGCTAATAAATAGATCTACTTAATTTAGAGCAATAGTAAAGTACAACTCCCAAGTGAAAGCTACTGAAGTAATCATTCCCAAATATTACTGAAATAACACACATTTGCTTTTAGCAAATATGTTTTTACATTTGGCTGATTTATAATTATTTTAGATAAGCAAAATTGTTCATGTGTCTTTTTCACTAAATATAGAAACTGATTTTTTTACGGTTCGAATTTACTGCCAGTTCTTTTTAATTTACATTTTAATACAGATCAAATACTACTGGCTGTATTCCCACCTCGACTTTCTCGATCTCTTCGAATAATCGCCTACCTGCATCTTATTAAAACTTGAGGTGTGAGTACTTGTTTTTTCTCTCAAATGGAATGAAAATAAAAACTGATCGTTCCTCTGATTTCCTTCGCCGTTTCGCAATAACATTTTATGGTTCCCGTCGGCTTTTCGACTTTCCCATCCGACTGCGTAGGATGTTCTTAGTCCGTAGTAGCATCGTCGATTGTTGTGTGTTGATTCGTTCGTTAGCGGCATTCGGGCGTTCGGGCGTTCAGGCGTTCAGGCGTATTGCGTACCCATTGTGTTGCCTAATGGCCGGACGAGTGAGGCAACACGCCTCGATACCTATTCAGGAGACTAGTGTTGGCAAAATCGAAGGGGGGAATGGAATTATAAAAGTTGTTCGATAGCTATATATTGCGATTTAATTATTTATTAAAGACGTCGATACTTCATTGACACTTCAAATTATTTTGCGGTAAATATTTGTTAATAATGCTGAAGCCTGGAATCTTTCAACAGTAATAAATATTTTGTCAATGGCGCATCAATGGTCCTTTAAAATTTCATATTTCTTCTGCCAAGTTTGTTAAATTATCACTCAATATATGTTACTTGAATCTTGAAAGTTTGTTAAATTATCACTCAATATATGTTACTTGAATCTCATAAAAACTTTATGCATAATTAATTAAAAAAATAGCGTATTGTATTCGAATTTGAGATAATGATATAGTAGACAAGGTGCATATTCTCTACATATCATTTTTACAAACTAATTACAGTTTTCTATTACTATTCGATTTGCCACAATTTTGCATCACTTGTACTCGGTTTCGGAACCGAAAACGTGAATTCCTATATAATTCCATCAGTATGCATATCACAGTCGTGGGATAAGTAAGCCAATAGCCAGCGAATTGCGTCATTACAAAGTCCCTATGGGCCGATTTCGGGCACAACGTTTGCGAATAGTATTCCTTTCATTCCCCATGTAGGCGAAAAATACCGGTGTGGGTATAAAAAACACTGATTAATATACAATTTTGTATTTGTATTTTTCATTGAAGCCATGTGATGTGGCATTTACATTTTTCATCAGCGTTGATGTCAGTAATCTATGGATTATTGTATTTACACAACACTCGCGACCCCGTTAAAAATGAAGTTCGTATCGAATAAAAACATTTATATTTATTAACACGATGATAAATATACACTAATTTGTCGCTCACCGGGGTGCTGTGAAATTTTAATTAAAACGCTAACATCGTTCACGCGGTTGTAAATGTGATTTTCTACCACACATATTACATATAAATTTCATGGCACCGCGCTGCGTCGCGCCGCTTCGAAAATATTAATTAGTTTTTCATTAAAACAAAATTAATTACCGCGACGTAGCCCATCTCTCGCTAGGAGAACTCCAGAGAAAATATTAAAACTCTTAATACAGCACAATTCTGGCGAAAATGAGTAGGTTATATCCGTAATTCAATTTGTCGGAGCGAAATGCGAGCGAATTCACCACCATCTGTTACTTGATTCGAGGCTATAGGGACCTAGGTACAGTATCTGTCGCGATTCTTCTGAAAGGGGCGACTGCCTAAGTGGAAAATAAATGGTTATTAAATACGGATGAGGAACATTAATGTTGATTTTTCTGTATATTTGATTTTTGCAAACGAAGTGCTTTGCGCTTTAATGGATTTTGGATTGCGAGAAATATCGCTTTGTATTTTGTTATTAATTATTATAAACATAAGAAATATACTAAATGTTATTTTTGGATTTTTTGCGGTTGATTATTTCCTTGATAATTTGACTTCTTGAATTAATGCTGAATTGAATTGGAAATGTGGAAAATGCACAAACTATTATATTATTTCTGTATGTTCTTATAAACATAATTGAAATGCATCTATAAAAGATTTAGACTATTTCTATCCGATTTACATATTCGTTTCCATATTCAAATTGAAGGTATTGAGATAATAACGTAATTGCATATCGATTAGGTACATTCTTAAGTGAATAACTTCCCCAGAACTCCAAGTAGGTATGGAGGTTAAGTTTGTTTCAACACGCTACAACTATCAGAGCCTTCTGATAAGTTTTGTTCTATTTTCGCTAACCGATATTTTATCGAGGCCAATCAAAACAGCGCATCGGATATATTCTCTATTGCAACCAACTCGGGATTCAATAGCATCGTATCGAAATATTGCCGTAGACGTTCTCTGTACACTTTGAAATCATTTTTAATAAAAATGACTTCGGTATTTTATATTGAGTGTCTATTGAATAAAATTTTATCTTGTGCGAACAATCTTCACACGCTAGAATTCTGTCGCGACATTCGGACTGTACAAGGCGTCTCCACCGTACTAGTTAGTGAAACTTTGTTCAAATTATAGCCGGCTAATGAAAATTCTTAATAACTTGTTTTTTAGCTTAAAGTTCTTAGCCTTTTAACAAAAATACAAAGCTTAAAATATATTGTTATTGCATCTCTTGGTTTATTACTCCGCTTATGGTTTATTTTAAGGGGGTCTTCCTATGTGATGAGTTGAAAAAATTGAATTTTTTTTTATTTCATATTTCAGTAGATTATACCTTTAAAATAACATATTAAAATTTCAAATCGATATCTCAAATAGTTTTTGAGTTACAGTCATTCAAAAAGTATACATATAGTATATAGTACAACGATCATTTTATCTTTAAACGCGTTTTTCTCAAAACTGTGTTTTTCAAACTTGTCTCCATTGTATCTCAGAAACGGCTGGACCGAATTACTTGAAATTTACAGGGCACATTCAATATATTTAAGCGCATGGAATGATCTATTATCAATCAAAAATTTCAAAACTTCGATTTTTTATAGCAAAAAAACTAAAAAAAAAAACGCCTAATTTGCAACTTTTATTTCAAATGTCTATAAAACATCCAATTTTTTTTGTATTCATTTGATTGTAGATCATTCCGTGCTTTTAAGCCTACAAATTAAAACGCCGTTTATTTTTTTTTGGTCAGATAAGCCGATCAGCCGGAATCGTGGAGACAGTGGGAGCTCTTTTTTTTTGAGGGGGGGGTGTTTAGAGCGCTGTAACTCTAGTTGGACTAAATTTTTTTAGCTGAAATTTTATATTTATACTGTACAAATATGTATTAATAAATGATAAAAAACTTGAAGCTCTAACTATTTACTGGTCGTAGAAAAAATATTCTAAAATATCCCTAAAAAACAGGCCGTCACATAGGAAGACCCCCTTAATCTAAAACACAATATCGCATCTTCAATTTTACCCTCTAGAGACTGTAGCGGATTTTGTATCCAAATAATCGAGCAAAGCGAAAACGCTTTAACACGATTAATAAAATCGTTTTTCAACGTCAAAGTATGGACGTTTTATAACCGTTACGATATTAATTTCCCTTCAAAATAATTTTTAATATAAACATACCGCTCTCTTCTCGCTTGTCTGCTCCGTCAGCATGATTTCAGTTTGATGTGTTCAGCTATGCGAGTCGAAACCTAATTTCCTCGGCACATCAAGTTTTTCACGTCTGTTTTTACCGAAATTGATTCAACTTTTCCGCTGTTTCAGTATTAACAACGCGGACGGATAACGAGTGAAATATTGAAAACAAACCCACGGTTTGCGTATAACCTTCGGCGGTTTTTATGGGGTATAAATGTAAAGAAGTGTAAAATTTATTTTTATTACAGGATTAACTTTTTTGTAATAAAATGTTAATTTAATTTCAAAATTTTGTACATTTTAATAATAAAAACAGAATTTTGTAAATTTGACTTGTGACATAGTAAGATCAATGCATAATAACGAAATAAT